CATCCTTTCTAAATATCACTCACTGGCTCAGCACTCTCTTTTCCTTTCCTCTGCTTTATTTCCTTCATAACATCTATAACTCTCTAAAATGTATTATTTGTTTATTTATAAAATGACTTCCTTACCAGCATGTAAGTTCCATGAGGGCAGGAACTTTTCCTTCTGTTCTGCCTCCAGCACTTAGCACAATATGTAATACATAATAGACACTCAAAACATTTACGGAATGGATGAATGACAACTATGTCAGCCATTTTTCTGGGTTCTGGAACAGAGTGATGCAGGAAAGAGATATAGTCTCTGCTCTCGTGGATCTTAATTTCAAACCGTCTGTCCCCCTTTTCTGAAATTTTTGTTATTTGATCGGAAAATGGAGGTTTAGATTCTGAGGAAGCCTTTATTGAATGTGTCATGTTCTCTGAGATGTCAATATTAACTGCTCATAGCAGACACTTGAATTGTGAACCTTTGAGGATTCCTGAACTTTCAATCTCGTGGAGCTTGAAATTTGAGCCCCGAGCTTATTTAGCATTGTCCTTTTTCCTTTCTCCTGGGGTAAAGGAGGGAATAGCTATCGAGACCTTGAAAAAGGAAGCTTTTATCCATCGAGGGAAAATGGGGTACTCAATCAATCAATCAATAATAAAAGGTGTTTATCATTTTGTGTCTGTCTCCTTCCAGACCGACAGTGTTCCTAGGGTACAGGGTGCTTTCTTTATAAGATAGCCATGTTTTAATTGTTTTAGTTAAACAGTTTAAGTGTTTGTTTTAGTGATATTAATTGCTTTAACCTCATAACAGCCATGAGAGTTTAAGTAATCTTGCCCAAAGTCACACATCTGTTGTAGAGCCTATATGCGTACAGCCTAGTTCAAGTCCATTCTCATCCTTTTCTATGTTTCTTCACCTTTTCCTTCGTTTTCTGCCCTTCTCCTTAAATATGTGGATAATTTTGATTCCTGGGGGAACTACCAAAATTTGTTTTCACATCTTTGCCTTCTCCTACTATTTGAAACGCGTTTGAACATAGACTGCGTCTGGCAAGGATTAGGGAGGAGTTTTAGACCCCTGCCCAGCCCAAGATGAGATCAAGCTGGAGGAAAGCCTTATGGGTTTAGGAAGGAAGAGTCATCCAATCAGACTCCAAAATAGCATCTACTCAGGGAATAAGGATTATGCCCCTAGGGCACCAGCAGTTTAGAATAAATAGATGAGTTAACGGGAATGAAGGCATAATACGCCCTTAAATCATCATTTATGCCACAAAGATTTGCACAGGATCTTCCCCCAGGATGAAAATGGAAGACCAACCCTTACTGCTCCTTTCAGATTGTTTCCTTCTCTCGCAATATACCAACAATTTTCTCCCTCCTCATTTCTGAAACTGGGATCTTTACCACCATCCTGGATGGCATCATCACCCAGCACATTCTCTTCCCCTCAGTGCTAACAGGACAACCCCAAAACCTTGCCTTTTCATAATTATGAAGATGATTGCTTGAGCCCTGACTGGTGTGGCTTAGTGGGTTGGGCATCATTTGCAAGCTGAAAGGTCACTGCCGGTTGGATTCCCAAGTCAGGGTACATGCCTGGGTTGCTAGGGCAGTCCCCAGTTAGGGACATGCAAGAAACAATGGATCAAAATTTCTCTGCCACGCCACTGTTTCCCTCTCTTTCTCCCTACCTTCCCCTTTCTCTAAAAATAAATAAATAAATCAAATCTTAAAAAGAAAAAAAACCCGATGGCTTGAATAGTCTGTTTACTTTTAACTTTTTTACTATAAAAGCTTTGGCTTTGAGATTCTGTACTAAATATATTACCATTTTACCTTCATACTTTTGAAACTTTTTACTTCTGCCCTGGCTGGTATGGCTCAGTGGATTGAGTGTCAGCCTGTGAACTGAAGGGTCTCTGGTTTGATTCCCAGCTAGGGCACATGCCTGGGTTTTTGGCCTGGTACCCAGTTGGGGGAGTGCGAGAGGCAACCAATCTATGTTTCTCTTGCACATTGATGTTTCTATCCCTCTTTCTCCCTTCCTTTCCCTCTCTCTAAAAATAAATAAATAAAAGCTTTTTTATTTCTTTCATGAAAGAAAAAAAGGAGAGTTTGAATAAGAGTTTGAGGGAGTTATTTTGAAAAATATTTCTGAAAAAAGTGTTTCAGAGAAACTTCAGAAAGATTGAGGGGTTGACAAAATTGAGGCATTAAGAGAAAAGTATCAAAAGAAATATTGAAATACTTAGAAAGAGAGAGAGAAAAATATGTGTGCCAAAAGAAATTGGATAGCCAGAACGGGTAAGAAATACGAAGAAGAGAGATTATCAAAAACTGAATGAACAGGAATTGAGTTGATTTTGAGAAAAATGTTGCAAAATAGAGATTTCAGAGACTGAGATATTGTCAGAGATTGAGAAAGAGTAAATGAGTGACTCTGAGTAAGAGAAGAAATGAGAAAATATTGAGTCAGTATGAGAGAGAGAAAAATTGAATCTTGAAAGATTCAGAGAGAGGGAGGAGGTCAGAGGAGGAACAGAGAAGGGGAGGGAAGGAAAAATGAGGAGGCAGATAGGTAAGGACAACTGCAAGAGAATGACAGGAATAATAGAAATTGGTTAGACGTAGATAACTGAGAAATATTTAAAAAGAGAATGAGGTACTGAGAGGGAAAAGAGAGATTTGGGGAGAGATGTTGGGATAAATTGTCAGATTTCTTTGTACTGTGTTCTCTTTCTGGAACACCTGTCAATCATTCTGGTTCCCAGGTTGATTCTTTAATGTCTAATCTTTTCTTTCCTACTGTGCTTTATATTTTTGTTTTACTGTGGGTACATTTATTTTGTTATGTAATAAGTTACTGTCTCCTTTCTTTGGTAGGATGCAGAGTTTGAGTCAAGTCTTTTTTTTCTAGATTTATGGCTTAGTCTAAGACATATGCCCTCTGAACTTATGCCCTGTTGGGTTAGCTGACATGAGGAGTGGGAAGAGCCAGGGTCAGTCTCCCCACCAGCCCAGAGAAGCTAGTCCAACCAGTAGATGATTGCTACTATGGTTTGCGAGTCAAGTCTACTATAGTCATAACTGACTTCCCCCTCTTCAGTTCCAGAATAGTGCTTGTGACCCAGTAGGCACTCAATAAATGAGCAATGAATATGTACAACATGGTGACCATAGTTAAAAATATTATATTAATATTTTAAAGTTGCTAAATCTTAAAAGACCTTAGCACAGAAAAAAATATTTGTAATTATGTACAGTGACAGATGTTGACTTACTGTGATCATTTCACAATATTGTATATACAAATATCAAATCATTACATTGTATACCTTAGGCTAAGATAATATGTCAATTATGCCATAAATAAGTAAATTTGGAGCAAAATGAAGTGATGAATGAATGAATGAATGAATGAAAGAACAAAAAGATGGGTGAATAAGCAAGACTTCCGTCAGTTTGAGGAAGGTGGTGGTAAGGATGGGTGAGCAAAGCACCACAGAGAAAACAAAATTAAAGGGCAACAAAAAGCATCAGCCAGAGTGACTGTAATATATATGTATACATATATATGCATTATATATAATATATATGTCAGATTTTTAACATATTGGCTAATCGAGCTGCAGCCCAGAAAGTTAAGGAGATAACAGCATTTGAAAAGTACAAAGAATAGAATGAGAAGATCTAATATACATCTAATGGAAATTCCAAAAGAAGCCAGTAGGAATAATGAAAAAAGACATTATTCAAAGATATAATGGCCCAGAAATGTCCATATTTGAAGAAATTAAAGAGTGTTTAGATTAAAGACATATAGTTACACATGGACAAGATAAATAAAAACAAATATTACCCAGATATTTTGAGGTAAAAATATAGACCATGGACAAAACACGCATCTTTTTAAAAGCAGCTAGAGAGTACAGAAAGTTTACCTACAAAGGCAAAAAAGTTTGACTGTCAGCAGACTTTTCAAATAAATGAGTTCTATACTCACCTAACCAATTATGCAAGATTGACAATGTAAAAAATATATTTTCATGAAAAAACGTTTGAAAAGGTTTACAATTAAGAGACCATTACTAAAAGAATGATTCTACTTCAGAAAGAATAAAAATGTGCCCAAGAGGGAAAAAGAGGATGAAAGAAGCAATGGTGACCAAAGACCTTTATAAACAAATGGTTAACTCTAAATAAACCCGCCGCCTTCCCCTTCCACCCTCCACCCCCCAGGCGTTACCTTTGCCTTTCTCTCTCCTAAGCTCTAAGAGCCGTTCTTTTGCTCGTGTGACTTGTCTCCTGATCCTACACAGCTCAGCTTGCTCACTCTCACCGCCTCTCTAACTTTCTAAATAAATTTTTTCTTATAATTTGAAAAGAGAAAAAGAAACAAATCAGTCTAAATATAGTACTTATTATTACCCTATTATTCACGAACAGATTTAATCCAAATTTAAAATTCTCAAATTGGATTTCTTTTTTAAAGACATTCACCTATAACGTGAAACAACCACCAAGTATAAAAAGTCAAATAAAGAGGTGGTGGTATCAGAAGGATGAGGAACCAGCTTTAAGGGTTGGTCAAAAGTACGGAGTTTGAGTATAAAAAGAAAACCGACTCTATTCCCAGCAACAGTGATATTAGTCTCTAAGCATACTTTTATTGAATGCATAAATGATTGACAGTGATGAAGGGTGGGGCATAGGGGTGGGTCTGAGTGGTGCAGGGATCTGATTGTGTCAAATTTTACATTTAAATACACGGTGTTTCACCGCCCGAAGACACTAAAGAAACTGCATTTTTGGAGTTTCTTGAAAATGGGTACTCCGAGGGGCTTCATGACAGGTAAGCAGGGATTGGGGGGCTGACAGTGGTGCAGAATGTGGGGTTCGAATGGTCAAAAAGGGGTCAAAAACTCAAAGGAGCAAGATTAAAGGATGCAAATCACTCACTCCATTCCAAATGAGGATAATGATAGAGGGTTGTGAAATGAGGGACGAATGTCGATTGCCTCAAGGAAGTCAAGGTGTAAATGTGAGATCCTGTTACACAAGGTTGGTGTGTGCTTCGCAAGACTCCCATACTTCCCCCGTTGGTGCTGGCCTGGCCTTGCACTATCTTCATTAGAAGCTCCATAACGGCAGTAATTTCTGTGTTTTATTCACTGCAGAATCACCAGACATAAATAAGTGCCCACTTGTGGGAGGCAGACAAATACTTGCTGAGTAAATGCAGTGTCCCTACTGACTTGTGCTCTTCATAGCCCAGAAAACACCTGAGTTCATTTGAAACATGCTTTTTCATTTGTTTCGCAACTTAAGCTCTCAATGTCCTTCCTGGGAAAGTAGGCAGGGGTTAGTGTATACAGGCGTCAGTAAGAACAAATTCATTCCTAGTTACGCTACTCTGTCTGCCCAAACTTGAAGAGCTTATTTTGCTTCATCTTTAAGAGTATAATAACAATTGTACTTTATCCCCTGTGTTTGTTGAGGATTAAATGAGTCGTGTTTATGAAACACTTAGATGTCTGACACTTGGAAAACATCTCCAAATGATGTTATTATTATTGTTGTTATTGTATAACATTCTAATACTGTTATTGTTTCTCACTGTATCATTAATTACTGTATTTACTCTAAGAATTATATTGAAGAACAGATGCTTAGCTGAGTTTAATTTCTCTTTGATTAATTGTCAGGCCCTAGCTCATCCTCTGTTACTGCTTATCAAACTTTCTGTTCTCAACCTCTTTACATTCTTAAAAATTATTGAGGGCTCCAAAGAGCTTTTGTTTTTGTAAGTTGTATGTATAGTCATTTGCCACATTAAAAATTAAAATTGACAAATTAAAAAAATACTTATTCACTTCAAAATAAAATGATAAATGCATCACATGTTAACTATATTTTCCATACAGAAAAAAGGAGGATGTCAATATTTTACATTATAGTAACTTTATCTGCCTTAATAGAAGACAGCAGAATTCTCTTCCACTTTTGCATGCATCTTTTGTAATATATTGTTTGTTGTTGAAATCTGGCCTTACACAGAAAAAGTGTTAGAAAATAAAGGAGTATTCTAATAGCCTTTGTGACCATTCTGAATAGTCTTTGAAACTAAAACAATATTAGGAAGCGCTAATTTCTTAAAGGTTAGTTGCTGTGTGAAATTTGAAATTATATCAATGAACTTTTCGTAATCTGTCATGTTAAAATCCACTGTCTATCTTGCACTTAGAGTGGATCTTGTATCCACACATGATTTTGTGTAACATTGCAGTTTTTTTGCAAAACATTTGTTTACTAAGTTATGCTTTTCTAAATGTATTCCACTGGACATTCCTGACAGAATGAGAGTTAAAAAGCAGACATCTTAATATGGGGAAGACAGCGTTGACCTCAGGAACCCCCTAAAAAGATCTTAGGGAACTCCAAGGCCCTTCAGAGCTCAGAGAAGGGCCCTTGGTTATCCAAGGGTAACGGTTGTCGTAGTAACTGCTTCTCTCTGTCTCTCAGTCTCTCTGTGTTCCTGTCTGACTCATGTAAACTCTTTTCAAATAAAAGCAGAAAAAATCTGTATTCTCCTCCCACTGACACATCACTTCCTCATAGTCAACTGTTTCCAAAGGTGTAATAAGGGGACAATAAAGAACAGACAAATGAATGGGTAAATAAAATTGTTATTTCTCCCAGAAGGGGAAGCACATAGTCCTAAGAGTTAAGAGAACATGGTGAAGTAATTTGGGGAGAAAAGGATAGCTTCTACAAGACAGTGTTGTTTAAACTGAGAAAAAATAGGCAGGTGGGTATTGAGTTGTTGTCAAACAGGACAGACAGAACAGTGGGGATGAGCATGTATGAACACCTGAAACAGGCAACTCACAACTTGTTCAAAGAATTGAAGGAGGTCCAGTGTGGCCAGAACACAGATTTCCAAGAGAGGAGTGCCCAGCATGTGCCACTTTCAAGGCCAAGAAGCAAATACAATTGAAGGCCCACATACCATATACTATAACTATTTCAAAATTGTAAATCAGGCTATCAAACTGTTAAGTAAAGTGTGTTTTACCTGCCCACCTTGACAAATATATCTTCCAGGAAGCTGAGATTCAAATTTTTGAATTTTTGGCTTTGTTAAAGTTCCACATCAGAATGTGGCAATGGAGGAAGAGCTAGCCACAGCCCTTCTGCCATCATTCTCATCCCATCTTTGTACCCAAGGCCCAGTCTCTGTTGACATCTCTCAACCAACAGTCCCCCTGGGACCAGGATGGGACTACACATTGGCAGCCTGTTCTTCCCTCTGGGACATGAATTCAGAACCATTTGACGGAAAATCCTGCAGTCCCTGGTACATGGAATATGACTGAGAAATGGACAAGTCTTCCAGGGTCCATGACACTTTTGTTTTGCAGACTCATGCCCAGTAGGGAGGAGCACATACAGAAAAAGCCAGAGAGAGGCCCTTTTATCTATTTTTGTTCTGTTCATTGTTTTAAAATTAAATCTATTGGGGTGACATTGATTAATAAAATGACATAGGTTTCAAGTGTACAATTTTATAATACTTCATCTGTATATTGCGTTGTGTGCCCACTGCCCAAAGTCAAATCTTCTGTCACTATATATATGACCCCCTTTATCCTTTACTATCCCCCTACCCTCTGGTAACCACCAACTGTTGTCTGTGTATATGAGTTTTTTGTTTTTCTTGATTGTACATTTGTTGCTTTCAGTTTTATATCCCACATATGAAACAAATCATATGGTTCTTAACTTTGTCTGACTTATTTCACTTAGCATGGTATTCTCAAGATTCATCCATGTTGAAAGAGGCCCTTATAAATCCTTGCTACTCAAAGTCTCTTTTGCAGAGCAGTAATATCGGCATCATCTGGGAGCTCATTAGAAATGCAGGATCTCAAGCCCTACCCAAGACATATTGAATCAGGATATGTATTTTAACAAGATCCCTCAGTGATCTGTATATCTAGTAAAGTCCAAAAGACACACAACTCAATGAAAGAGGTGGAGCTGCTTTTTCCCAGACCTACTGCACTGCCAGGCTCCCTAAGCCAGGGTTAGTGAGGATGTGGGATTTGTCCTACGTGCACTGAGGAGGCATGGAAAGATTCTGAGCAGTCCAGTTACATGATCTGTTACATTTTTATAATATCAAACCCCTTCCTTTGAGCATGATATTGTAACAAGCTTTGTGATTGATAGTTAGGCTCTCAGTGAATCCTCACTACAGCCTTGTGAAGTAGAGATCATAATTATTTTTCAGCTGAGATAACAGGCTTAGGGAGGTGAAGTCACTTTTTAAAAAATCCACAGAGGTACTATGTGAGTGACCTGGGATTCAAACCCCAATGGCCTTGAATACATTGCATTCCCCAAAATGAATGAGATCATCACTCTCCACCCCCCTATTCTACTCCACAGACCTACCAATGCAGTCCTTTGGTGTCCAGATTAACACAAGAGCCCCTGGGGCTCCCCAGACCCACTCTTTTGTCTACATGAGTGATCACAGCATTGACAAGATACAATAGAACAAAGTGGATCACAGTGCAACAACCCTCTCTTTTCCCTCCAGTTTCATTCCCACCTCCTGGGTCCTTGAAGGAGGGACAGTTTCAACAGTCAAATAAGTTCCAAGTGCCTCTGGGGCAGGCTGAATCCCATTTTACAGGATGGATTAACTGGTATCAAGATTGGGTAGTTTAGCCTGGGTCCTCTAAGAAGCAGACATCAAAACAGAATTAAACAAACCTGCAGGGATTTTATTAGAGGAAATATCTATACAGAAAATGGGGCAGAAGTCAGGGGAGGCTGGAAGAGCTATTGGACCACTACACAAACCTGACCCCCTGGTGAAGAAGGGAAGGTTGGGTAGAAGAATCCTAGACCATCCACCATGCAGTCTAAATTGGGCAATGTGGTTGATGAAATGTAAATAAGCTTTATGGAGCATGCCAGTGTCATTTTTCTGGTTTTGATAGTGTACTACAGTTATGCAAGATGTCATCATTGGGAGAGGCTGAATGAAGGGTACATAGGACCCCCCTGTACTCTTGGATTTTGTTTTTCTTTTTTCTTTTTCTTTTCTTTCTTTCTTTCTTTCTTTCTTTCTTTCTTTTTTTTTTTTGCAACTACTGTGAATCTGTAATTATTTCAAAATTAAAACTAAAAAAGAAAAACCAAACACTATAAAATGTGATAATTCTTGCTTTCAATATTCATATGTATTTCAAATAACTTAGAAGAGAAAATTAGTCTGTTACATATAAGCAGATATTTGCCATTTTTTGTGGATCTTTCTTCATTCCTGAAGTTGTATTTTTCCCTCTTGCATCATGTCCCTTCAGCCTGAAGAATTTCCTTTAACATTTCTATAGAATAGGACTACTGGTCACAGATTTTCGTATTTTCCCTTAATCTGAGAATGTTATCATTTCACCCTCATTTCTGAAGGATACTTTCCCTAGATACAGAATTCTGAGTTGACAGTTCTTTACTCTCAGCACTTTAAAGATTTTGTTCCACCATCTATCTTGGTTTCTGATGAGAAAATCTATGGTCATTTTATCTAGTTTAATTTTTCTATTCTTTCAGGTCCTTCAGATTGTGTTTCAACAATCTCATTAAAGAAAATATCCCCCTACTCTGAGTCACAAAGATATTGACACATGATTTCTTTTAATATTTTCAAATTTTCATTTTTGAGTAATACATCTGCAGTATTTTTTTTATAGTATGAATGCAAATCATTTTCCTGGAGAGGTAGACACTCTGGAGATTAAACTCATTTGTGTTACAATGAGCCCAGGTCCCTGGGAAACATTGTTTTCCAGTGAATGAATGACTTTAACAGTGTCCCCTTTGTCATATAGGCTTTTCGTCCCAGATGTCAGTATGTCTGATGAGGAGGATGGCCTCAGAGAATCCCCAGGCAGACCTTTGTAACCAAATGGATGATTCCAGCATGAACTTGATGCCACAGAATCCAGCTGGTCCCAGTGAGTATAACCCTCCTTTGTCCTCCTCTCCTC